ATACACGTATCATACTGAAAGTGACTTTATTATACAATATATAATATTGTATAAATTATTTATAATACTATATAGAATAGAAAATTATTTATTCAACCTAACATGGTATATTGGTAGCAATAAGATCAGCAGTCCACATTACTAACAATCCTTTTCCCCAAATATACTTGTATTTTTTTTTATGGATGATAATGGAATGCACCCGCCTGCGCTATCGGTTTACGCTGGCGGGGCACCAGTGGAGGATGATAAGATGAACATGAGGTCAGGTCAGTTAGCCCATCGTGGCAAATTCACCAGGAATTTATCACGATGGATTCCAGGGGGAACCGCGTGGAGAATATACTTGTATTTTTTTTATTGATGATAATGGAATGGTGCACCCGCCTGCGCTAACGGTTTACATTGGCGGGGCACCAGTGGAGGATGATAAGATGAACATGAGGTCAGGTCAGTTAGCCCATCGTGACAAATTCACCATGAATTTATCACGATGGTTTCCAGGGGGAACCGCGTGGAGGTCAACCTGACATGGTACATTGCTAGCAATAAGATCAGCAGTCCACATTACTAACAATCTTCTTCCTCGAAATATACTGTATTATAAAGATTATGTCACGAGATGACACCGAATAGGGATGAATGGAAGAGAAAAACATATAACGCCGACCCCAAATAAATGGGATAAGAAATATAATAAATTAAATAGAATAAATAGAAAATAATTTATTCGGATAATCCTAATTTAAGCACTTTTGAATTGTCAACATTTTTTTTTAAATCTACCGCTTATTCGGAAAGCTGTCTCATCACAAGAAGAATAAGCAAGAAACTTGTGTGTTGCTCTTTTAAATAATCCTTGTAAGTTCACATTTACAAGTCGAAACGTGTGAATACAAACTACCAACCAGCACTAATTTATTAGGGTCAAATATACCTATATACTATACTCCAAACCGCTTGCTTAGTAAATTTTGTTTCAGTGTAAGTAAGAAACATAACGTCTTAGTCCTTCGAAATGACCACAGGCTTCACACGAATAGTTATGGATAATGTACACATTTTCTTTATCTTCTAATATAGTAAAAAGAAATACGATTAAATCAGTCGTAGTGATAAGAGCAGACCAGTCCCTACCAGCAGCACTCGTTCACGAGTATGACGGATAAAATTTGAGGGCTTCTGTAGTTTAGCAGTTTCGCACACTGCTTTACTTTCAATGGACGCCGGTTCCATTCCTCGCACGACACAAACATTTGTATTCATAAGTATGATTGTTTGTATGGGTCTGGGTTCTTTCTACATATATATAATATCTCTGGGTGTTTTTATAAATACAGACTGTATTTACGAAATAAAATAGATCTATTTATTTGTATCAGTTGTCTAGGACCCATAACACAAGCTTTAACTAGCTTAACTTAGGTTAGATGTCGCTGTGTGAATTGTTCCCAGATTATTATTATTGTTTATATATATATATATAATATAAAATATACCTCCCTTTGATGGGGTGTTAAACTTGTCACTGCGGGTGAATATCACAAAACAATGACATTTATAAAAGAAATGATTATGATGACGAAAATTTGCGGACTATTCTACAAGTGTTTAGAATTACAGCTTTTTGGAAAAGTATGAAAGTGGGTGAAGATGTAATATTTTGAGGTTAGAGTGTAATTTATACATATTATTATTATTATTATTATATAATAATAAGAATAATTTAGACTCATCCACGATTGGCTAAAGCCGCATGTTTGAATGTATTACCGCCGTTAAAAATGAGATATATATATATATAAGTAATAATAATAAAATATTCTCACCGTTGCTTCTCAATTTATATATTCAAATATCCTATATGTTCATAAAAATCTTGACTTCTTTCCAAAAAACAGCAATATTCATAATATTAATACTAGATTTAAAGACTTGCTGTCCCCAAGTATCGTTTAGAAGTCAATAGTTCTTTCATGGGAATAGGTATAAATATTTACGATAAGATACCAAAGGATATACTGAAATTACCCTTAAATAAATTTAAAACATCTGTTAAATCATATTTACTGAGCAAAGCCTATTACTCACTAAACGATTACTTGAATGACGAGCGTGCATGGCAATAGTTGTTCCTGCACGGGAGTAATTTCATTTAATATTGATGAACTGGTTTTTTAAAAAATAAAATAATATATTTAATTGAGTTTCTTGCCAGTTCTTCTCAATTGGATGCATATACTGAACTGGACGGTCCGAAAAAAAAAATTATAATGTAAAAAATTTGACGTTCATAAGCGGCTAATATGTCCAACATGCAAACATTATTTTTTAATTTGAATTTTAATACCAATATAATAATAACTACACACGGAGAGACAACCGGCGTGACAAGTATCACTTAACTTCACATCATAAACCATAACAAGACCTTTATTATTATTCATCTCATGAAGTGTGCGTTAAACCTTTGAGTTCAACGTTCGAATACAATAAATACTAATTGATAATATCATCTCAGGTCCAGGACGCCCCGATTTGTAACCTCTAAAAAGAACATTCACAATACAATTACATTTTATTGAGAGGAAATTGCACGATACATCCGCCGATTATTGAATTGGCGGATAAATCTTTTGCAAACCAATGACTTAAGAAAGTATAAAGCTTCTTTAACGGTTAGAATTTGAAATAAAAATAGAAATAATCCTTAATATATAGTGTTTAGTTAATAGTCATATTTTTTCATTGAACAGAGATTAAGTGCGTAGCGGTTTCTATGTTGATTGTCGCATGCCTAATCCTTGTTGTTAAGTAAATATAAGTAAATCAATATTTATTTAAAAGAGCAACACACATGTTTCTTGTTTATTCTTCTCGTGATTAATCTGCATTCCGAATAAGCGGTAGAATAAAAAAAACTTGACTATTCAAAAGTCCTTATATTAAGTTTATTTGAATAAAGATTATGTCTATTTCATTCTAGCTCTCATTCGGAACGCAGATGTTACAAGAAGAACGAGCAAGAAACATATTTTTTTAAATTTTACAACTCTTTTAAATCAATGTTATTTTAAATACACAATACCAAGTAGGAGGCACGCGATAATCAACATAGAAACCGCTACGCTCTCATTCTTTGTGCAATCAGATAATATTGTGAGCGCTATAAATTATAAGTTTTGTCTATAAAATAATTATTACTATTTTGTACTCTTCAATTTTATAATAAGCTTTTATAATGGTTATTCATTCATTCATGTATTACAACATGACAGTTAACAGGATTTAGAAGATATGAAATGATTATTTTACATTTAGTAATTAAAATAAAGTACGAATATATCTTTATCATTAACATCATATTGCCACTTTTTTTTCGGACTATTCTGATGCTATTGGCCGCAGCTGGTCTTTACAGCTTCACCGGACGATAGGGGGCGAGTGCAGATGGCACTCCAAACTAAGGAAGGACTTATGGAGCGGCTGAGGGCAAACTCCCGCCTGACGGATACGACTTTAGTCTGAGAGCACCACTAGAGGTTCGGCCCCCGGGCTTCGGTCGGTCGTAACTTCGATTCTCGTTTGAATTGCACGGGGGAAGCCTTGAATGCAGTCTATCACTGCTTTCAATTCAATAGCCTGTATTAACATGCCTAGTATAATGTGGTTGTAAATAATCGTGGTTGTAATCTTGGCTCAACTTCAATATTACAAACATAATCGACATAGATTATCCATAGATACGTAAAGAATACCAACTACATGCCACGTTACAACGAACAGAAATACATTACGCAAAATACTAATTAGTATTCATAATTTCTCACGTTGACACTGATGATCTGTGGGCCATTCAACCGAGTCGCTATTGTTTCATTATCAATGTTAGTAAAACATTTCTAGCGATAGAAATACTAGCTACTAATATAATAAAAATCCCGGAAAGCATAAAGGAAGAAGAAAAAATTTAGTTATTTAAAAAAGATTTATTGACTGCAAAGCTTATTATACTATAAAAGTACTCTAAGAGCTATGCAGACTTCAATTTCGTCCTAACAAACTAACAGACACAAATATGCAAAGTGACATCCAAGAAATTGCTACACTCTTTAAACAGAGTCCATGCGTGTATTATTAATTTATTATATGTAAACTTATTATAAATGCACGTGCAATTATAATAAGTAAATAAATAAAACTAGAACCTAATTCCCATATACCAATTACATTTCAAAATTAGCAACATTTTTTCTATATTAAGGTACATTTTTATTAAAACACACGTCACAATATTACATATTGAAATAGAACCTTAAAACTACTACTATCTATTTAAAAGAACAACACACAAGTTTCTTGCGCATTTTTCTTGTGATGAGTCTGCATTCCAAATAAGTCGTAAAATAAAAAAAAAACTGGAAACAATTGTGATAAATTCTTGATGAATTTATCATGATGGGCTAACTCACCTGACCTTTATGCTCATCTTATCATCTTTCACTGGTGCCCCGCCAGCATAAACCATTAGCGCATGCCGATGCACCACCCATAAAAAATAAGGACTTAAAAAACACCGAATTAACAGACGTCCAACGACAAACCGGACGACCGTCGTCATATCTGAGCATACTCTTCTTTTATTCATATCATCTTTCACACAATCCATCCATCTTTTCTTAGGGCGTCCCCTTTACATCGTGACGACAATACTATAGTAGCAATATAACTAGGTCCCACTCATATGTCTTCCAGTCACGAAACAAAGCTATAACTAATAACATAAATATTTTCCTGTTAACGTCACAGTTATTGCACATAAAAAAGGCTTCCGGACGAGGAACAGGACTGTCCTTTCCATAGGATGACACTGTGTCCAGCTTGACCAGACGGGGCATATACCCCAAATAAATGACACCAGGCCAGGTAAAAGAAAAAAGAGAATATTTGTACATATTATACTCTTGAATTTAAAGAAATAAATAATAAAGAACTCTTACCAGCATACTGTTGTTGTGCTGTGGCTCTCTGAAAAAAAATAAAAAAAAACCAAATTAATAAAGAAAAAATGCGAATACAAAACAAGTAACAGAAAATAGTCATCGAGTACTTTCGAATTTCATAACATTAGGTTATAATATTTTACACGAATGCTAATATATAATTTCAGGCATTTAGAAGTGAAAAAACGATACCTATTGGTATATATTACACATTACAATGTCCAACTCCAAACTTAAACGTCGGTACATGCTCCCTGAGTAGTTCCTCAGTAATATATTCATAAAGGTAATGTAGATACCGCTTGAATTCATATGCTCTATGTAGCAGCACCGCTTCACAAACTGGACATCAAAGTAAATACGGTTGCAGTACGGTTTTGTAGCGTTGTAAATGAAAACACTTTTGTATACAGTGACCAGATAATATTAAAGCCTCACTTTGCGAGAATTTTTAGTATATTTGCAGTGAGAAATTTATTTCAACAGAACATATCATTTTTATTACATATCTAATACTTTTCCTAGTTTATATAATTTCTTGACTATAAGATAATATTGACAATTTTTCTTTTTTAAAACTGCACTCTCCGGGACCACTTAAGTTCCATGATATGGAAATGATACGCATCAAAGGTAGGTCAAACAATTCGGCAAAACACAATCTGTTGTACTCGTATATTCGGTAGACGACACAAAGTTGTGAACAATATAGACAGACAAATCGCATATCTCGTACACTCATTCATTCATTCATTCATAATTTAAGAGCTACGCTCTTGTCGGTGGAGCTCTTGCCACTTTCCGCGATCATTCATCATATCTCGTACAATACTGGTGTAATTAAGACATTTCAAATTTATGAAATTTAACGTAATACACAAAGACTTAGAGTGAACTTTCTTAAATTTGTAACTTTTGAGTTAAGCCCGTATTATAATAAGTGTACGAAACGTATATATAATACTAGGTATGGATACACCCTTATGGCAATAAACTTAATGCTAGTTATTTTCATTTGTATTTGGGCACGAAAGACATTGACGAAATACCACAAAAAGCAACCCTGAATAAAACAACATGACTGAATAATCAATCACTGTTACTTGTATTTTTGTCATTTATCTCCTTAGTGTTGTTATGGCTATGCTAAAAAGATGTCCATATCAATCAATAATTTGAGTATTCATTTTTTTTATTTATTTGATTACTAAATTGAATTAGTGCTAATCTGTAGCTTGTATTCACAAACTTAAACTTAAATTGTTAAGTAAGAATAAAATTATTCAAAAGAGCAACACACAAGTTTCTTGCTCGTTCTTCTTGTGATGAGACTTTCCGAATGAGCGGTAGATAAAAAAAATGTGATGACTATTCAAAAGTGCTTCAATGTAAGTTTATTTGAATAAATGATTTTCTATTCTATTCTATCATTCACTGGGTCACGACACGCGAAAATATTATGCGCAATATCTACGTTTTGTGGAAAGCACAATCGAAATTGGCTTAATTATTTAAGTCGTGAATACAAGTGTACAAATCAATGTATACCTACAACGTACTGTTAGAAATTTGTGGTTCTACGTTAACTCGAAGGTAACTACACTTTTCTCCGAGATATTGTAGCAAAACGCCTAGAGAACTTTTAAAAGCAATATTTTTTTCATCCAATACTGTACAACAATGTGATAAAATATTTAAATTAACAAACTCTTAAGCATCAGGAAATTCAGAGAATTCCAACATCTTTTAGCTTCAACAGATATTTGGGTACTCCTAAAAGTGTTATTCACCAACTCTTCATAATCTTATATATAAAATTCTCGTGTCACAGTTTTCGTTCCCACACTCCTCCGAAACGGCTTGACCGATTCTCATGAAATTTTGTGAGCGTATTGAGTAAGTCTGAAAATCGGCCAACATCTATTTTTCATCCCCCTAAATGTTAGGGGTAGTCCACCCCTAATTTTTTTTATTTTATTTTAAGGCAAAACAACGTTTGCCGGGACAGCTAGTAATATATACGTAGCTGTATTACGCGTTTGTCTATGACCCCTCCGATCGATCCCAATTCAAACGTGAATCGATATTACGACGGCCTGAGCCGAGGTTCGAACCCCTAGTGGTGCCCTCAGACTAAAGTCGTATCAGTCAGGCAGGAGTTGGCCTTCAGCCGCTCCATAAGTCCTTCTGCGGGTTTGAAGTGCCATCTGCACTCCATCTAACGTCCTGTGAAGCTGTAAAGGCCAGCTGCTGCCAACAGCATTAGAGTAATCATAAGAAAAAAGTTTTTCTATGAAAGAAATTAGGTACGCTAGTGAATATATGAGGACCGCGATCCACAGGGTGACGAAATCAAAATTGGACTCTTTATTTTTATAATTCTTTATATTGTACTAACTCTAACCGCGACTTCGTCTTCTGGAATTTAACTTTATTTTCTAAAATAAAAGAATGTTTCTGTAATAAAAGTAGCCTAGTTACTCCTTGTTCCATCAGCTGATGGTGTTGTTGGTAGTTTCACAGGTAAAGTGTTTATGAACAGAAATGAAAAAAATACCCTCTATTTATACTAACAATGATTCCCGCAATCAGTGGTATCATTAGCGAGATGATTAGTCATCGTTAAGTGCATTAGGCCGCGAACTTAACAGCCGCCCCTCGTAGGTACATAAAAATTACATGTCACGTGAACTGATTGCAAAATTGATTTGCACATTGTGTGCAATTAATCCAACTTGGAAAATAGGTTAGGCTACATCTCAATTTATAGTCGCAATATTATTTTATTCAAGAACCTTAGACACATCAACGCGTGGCCGGAGCTGTTAGTTAAAGTTACTATTAAACTTTCGTGTTTAATATACATAATTTAAATTATTAACCAGGTCTTAACACGAATAATTTTTTGGCAAATAAAGGTTTTTACCTCTCTCGACAAAATAATGATAGGGACAATAACGGGCCATTGTTCCTTAAACAAACACTTATACAAAATTGATGCTACAGACAGCCCCCCTTGTCGGGGCTGCTTTGAAGCTGAAGAAACGGCGGCTCACGTAATCCTGGAGTGCACGGCAGTGGCCCAACAACGAAAACAAATCCTCGGAACGGTGAGGTCGCTCCGTGAAGCCTGCGAAGACACCAGGAGTCTTCTGCGCTTTTGGGAGGAGCTTGGCTGGCTACGTTAGTAGTCTGGCTCTACACGCACAACGGCCCGAATGTGAGGCTAATTGCGGAGAATGGAGTCTAACATACCATACCATACCATACCTCTCTCGACGTTTCCACTAGGTTTTTTTTATGGACGATGGAATAATGATGCATCCGCCTGCGCCAATGGTTTACGCTGGCTGGCTACCAGTGGAAGATGATAAGATGAACATGAGGTCAGGTCAGTTAGCCCATCGTGACAAATTCACCAGGAATTTATCACGATGGTTTCCAGGGGGAACCGCGTGGAGGTCAACCTGACATGGTACATTGCTAGTAATGGGGTTATGCGTCCACATTGCTAACAATCCCCTACCGCCCTTTCGACTAGGTTGCACTAGCCGTGGTCACGAGCTAGTCCTAGTCTAGAACGAACCTAGTCGAAACGTTGAGAGAGGTAAATATAATAATATAATATAATATAATAATAATAATCTCAGAACAATTCACACAGAGCCATCTAGACCCAAGTTAAGCTAGCTAGAGCTTGTGTTATGGGTACTAGATAACTGATACATATACATAGATTTTTTTTTTTTGCAAATACATACATATTATACATAGAAAACACCCAGACCGATACAAGCAATCATACTCATGTATACAAATGTTTGTGCCGTGCGAGGAATCGAACCCGCGACCATCGGTCGTAAAGCGGTGTGCTTGACCGCTAAACCACCGAGGTCGTCAGGTAATAAAAAAAAAATACCTTTATTTGCCATAAAATTATTCGTATTAAGACACGGTTAATAATATACTGTTAGTTAAAATTAGATGGAATGTGAATCAAAATTTATCATTATATATATGTTTTATAAATTAACATTCTTCTAGTGCATTATTCCTAAAACCTATTATTTATGTTTCTTAAGTGAACAATTTTTTTCATCATCATTTCAGCTTGGATGACGTCCACTGCTGGACAAAGGCCTCCCCCAAAGATCTCCACGACGATCGGTCCTGCGCTTCTCATCCATCGCCTTCCAGCGATCATGACCAGATCGTCGGTCCACCTTGCTGGGGACCTTCCCACGCTGCGTCTTCCGTCCGTGGTCGCCACTCGAGGACTTTATTGCCCCAACGGTCATCTGTCCTACGAGCTATGTGCCCTGCCCATTGCCACTTCAATTTCGCATTTCCTCGGGCTATTTTTTTTTTAATTTTATAAAGGCTAAGGTACTAAAAAGTTTTGGAACTAACATTAGATAAAATATATGGAAATGTTTATAGATTTAATAAACAGGACAGCAGGACGAAGTTGGATATCAACAAACAAGTCTCGACATTCAAGGTCTTGTAACAACGCATTTAGTATTCATATAAATTGACATAGGTACTTGCATCGTCAATCATTGTCTGTAATCATAACATTAACAGTACACTGAGTTACATGCACGTGTACACGCATAGAGACAACTGGACAAATGTTGGAAACAACATTAATTCAAAATTCAAAATATCTTTATTCATGTAGGTTTATTACAGACTCTTATGATATGTCAAATCTACCGTCAGTTCGGAATGATTTCGAGATGAGAACTATGATATATAATAAGAACATATGTACATATGGTTGCATATATGTATATACGTTGTTACAACTTGACCATAGAGACACTTTGAATGTATATTTCATTACTAGCTGCATCCGCGACTTTATCCGAGTAAAATGACGATACTTCCATAAAACCTTTCACCACCCCGGGTTGAAACCCATTGCAACCCTTTTTTCGTATTAAAAAGTAGCCTATGTCCTTTGTCAGGGTCTAGATTATCCGTGTAGCAAAATTTCATTTAAATCAGTTTAGTGGTTTC